GCTTATAATAACATGGGTTTGATATTAAGGTTTGTTTTTAAATTGCGAATCGGTTTTAAACAGTTCGGGGTCTTATGGATTCTTGATGGCATCCGAATTAACATGCTCTATTGGCCACTGCTACGTGTTTTTTCAACAAATGCATTTCTAGGGTGGAGCTGATTGGTCTATTTATCTTCATTCCGATTGGTTGATTGTTCGCATCCGCACTAATCGAAGTGCCACGTTTCACGGTTCCTGAAATGCAACCAACGCAGCTTTCAATATCCTTATTGAAACCTAATTATTGTACTGATAAAGTTATATTTGTATCAGGATAGTTAATTTTTTTGCTGCAATATTTACTTTAATATGATAAAGCAAACTAATATTTATTGATTATGATGCTTCCAAGGAAAGCTAATTCTCTACGTTGTAACAGCACGATTCTGATTCCAGTAATTATACGGAGGGTAGAGGAGTGGATATTGAAAATAAACTTTTTGCTCATGGCTGACATAATGTTAGGAGTATAGGTAAGAAACCGAATAATTGCACAAATTCGGTTTGTATCCAGACACCATAACGAAGGCAGCTCCGAGTTTTCTTTTTGATGGACTTATTGTTCAACGTTATTTGTGAACAATAAACTTCATTTTGTTCAATCGCAAACCAGACAGAGAAAACGCCATATACTACTTACCATATTCTGGGGGTGTGCGATAGACTTACCTCCACGTGGTGCAACCTGGGCAACGTATACTCATACGGCAAAAAAGTCAATAAACCGGCAGTTGACTTCTCACTTCAAACTACCATCACTCTACTGTGTGTCATATTCGACTTCTTCCGCAGTGCTCACCTCACCTTTTTTCCTACCATTGTGTCTGTCTCTTTTACATCTTTGAAACACTCTTCTGTTCATCCCCCCTCTCAACTTTTTTCACTTTGATGTTCCTTCCCCTCTATGAAGCCTGAAGTCAACTAAAGGGCTAATGATAACCATCAAAACGCCTGCCATTTGATATAAATAAATACTTACCATATTCTTTCATCGGGATTTGAAGTTCAGATGATAACGTGCCAAGGTCCATAGTTGATCAGTTCTTCGATTAAAAATTGAAGAATTATTGCAGAAACTCGCAATTGTACAATGTTAAGGAAACCATATATTTTTTTTATCGGGGGGGGGGGTGGCAGGTTACCGACAATGTTAGTGAGAAAACAATGGTTACCTGGAGCACCTGTTTGTTATTTGGTGGAACAATTCATTACAAATAACTGAAATCGAGCGAAACAGTTATGCCTATTGTTATCAAACTTGAGAGAACTAAACCAGAAATTTAAAAATTAACGTCATAGTGCATTAAACAGAAAAGAAATTATATTTAAGCATGCTAATGGCAACATGGCCGGTCGCGAAAAAGAAGAGTGACCTCTCAAAAGAAGAGGAATTAAATTTGATGAATCTATCACTTCCTACGCACTCAACAGATATCGCCATATCTCATTATCAGATTTCCAGGCCTATGGAACCATCCATTCAATTAAAATTAGCTTGTTTTGTTTCCAAAATGAGATCGAAAATACTAGGGAAATATATAACGGAAATTTACTGTATGGTATTATATACATAATTTTAATTAAGAAAAATTTAATGTTTTTTTCAAAATGCGTTGCTTCATATTGGTTCCATTAATATAAAAATTATTTACGAAGTTCAAAACTTGAATTCAGAATAAATGTTCAATATTTACCTTTTTTGAATTACTATATTGGTCAATATCTCTTAAGTTATAGTTTACAATTGGGTATTAAATGCATTAACTCGCTGACAGACCAGCCACATTGCTTAAAATGAGTTAGCAGAAGTATAAAAGTTTCACTGAATTCCCAAGATTGTCACTTAAAAATAAACCTTCTTAATATACTTGAAAACTGCTCAGCTCGTAACAAGATAACCATGAAAAGCTACAGTGGATGGGGCTCTATAACAATTTATAACTGAAATGACTATAATTTTTTAGTCTAATTAGTTTTGGCCTCAATGTGGGGTCGCAAATTCTTTGTGAGAAATTGGTTTAGCATATGAATAGACTACAGCGAAATAATTTTAGTTTAAGTTAATTGAATTAACTATTTTGTTAATGCCTCAAACAATTAACTGTCGAATGGAAGTATTTGTACTTCTTCATTTAAACAATTACAAAACGTTGATCTAGTATTCAAAATACTTGAACAAAGTGACTACGAGCAATTAGTTTACAAGTGTAGATTTGTTTTAAAGAAAATGGAATATTCTGAACTGGAAAGCAAAATTAAATTACCCTATGAGAACATCATAAATGACACAAATTAAGATTGAAAAATTCCTTATGGGAGTAGAAAGCATCACTTGATCTGAGGAGTATACTTAAGCCATTCATCTATTTATGCCCCTCTTATTTCAACCAAACCGGGGTGCGCGATAAACTTACTTCCACATATTGCACCCTGGGCAACGTATACTCATAAGGTAAGAAAGTCCATAAACCGGTAGTTGACTTCTCACTTCAAACTACCATGGTCCCACTGTATGTCATATTCGACCACTTTCACAGTACTCACCTCACCTTACCTTTTCTATCCCTTAGTGTCTGTCTCTTTTGCATCTGTGAATCACTCTTCTCTTCCCCCTCTCGACTGTTTGTGACTTTGATGTTCCTCCTCTCTGTGAAGCCCAAAGTCAACTAAAGAGCTAATGATAACTATCATGAAGCCTGTCATTTGCTATAAATAATTTTCAACCAAACAGGTCAGAGAAATTAATATATGCTTAACTAACCCTAGGCTATCCTAGTTGATTAATTAGCCAGATTAGGTAAGTGGATAGAAAACGTCGAATCTTTGATTGAGGAAGAAACTTTCAAACCCATTTTGGATATTGTTGCTTTCTAGTCTTCATGATTATTTCCGAAAAAAAATAGGGGTTGTATGAACTACCACTAGTCTAAATCCACCAATCACCAAGCTCTGAACATCACGGTTATAATCATGCTGTGAGCCTGAGGGGCAAGTAATAACCACTGCACCTTTAAACAACAAAAGCGAACTTCTTTTTATTTTTTGGGCTATTCCAAGTTTCCAATTTCCACTGAAGTAAGGCTCAATATGTCCTGCTTTCATAATTCATTTCTTTGCCTTGTTATGCACAGTTCTCAGACCCATTAGTAAAAATAGCCAACGATTTTTCATAAATGATAATCTTTTTTGAAAGTAAGGACATTGGTCCCCTATTTTTGTTGGAGCGAAATTTTTTTTGAGGCTTAAAGTACTCTTATTCATGCATGCAATAATTACTATTTTAAGCATAAAAGATTTACTAATCAATTTCGCATTCCACCTTTACAACGCAAAGGTTTTCTCAAGATAAATAAGAAATGCATACATTACCCCATCGTAATTTCATTTAGTCAAGAAACACAACCACTATATATGCAAGTTTATGTATACATATTTCTTGGAAGAAATGAATTAGAAAATCAGTTAGGCCACCATTCCTGGACCATACTCCAACCAATAAAATATAGCAATAATTTATAAATAGAATCAGTCGATAAATTAACGCGTAGAAACTATGTTAAAATTTTAGTGGTTGCGTAACTTCGGCGGAATGATTTTATAGCATTCTTGACTCGCTAGCTAGCGCGCAATGTTAGTGAACGGTAGGTGACACACACGCACTTTCCCACGCCTGTGTAAGCATGAATATTGATTACATGATTAACGCCTTCAACCTGATTGGCTATTACCTCTAATAATCTAATAGGAGATGAGTAGCGAGTTGTTCACTAGAAAAGTAACCGAACTCCCTATCATATACATGCGCCTTACCGTAGATGTTGTAAGAATAATAATCAATTGAAAAGTTGTTGACTTTATAATTGTGAGCCATAAAAAAAGATGGTTAAAACAGCAAAACATTGGTTAAAACAACTAACTTTACAAGGTAGGTAATAACAACTGCCTCAATATTCTAATTTATTTACCTTGAGACCATCAATTCACAATCACTACAGTAGATTTAAACCTAATCCGATTATATAAGCCCCAACTAAGAATAAGACGAATGCAAAAGACATGCGCTGTGGTCGAAATATGGATTAGAAGTGTCGATGAGAAAATATCTAATGGGAAATGATACATGGACATGCTTTCAGCACGATTCCTCATCTTCTTTAGGGTTTTCTTCTTGAAATATATAGTAAGAATATAGATAGATAATAGAAGAGGTATATAAAGAGGCATAAATGGAAATGATCGTTATCATATAAAAGTAGAGGGAAGGATCAAAATAGGATTCAGACAAGAGGTATGGCGGTATGACAGTGGCGCATAAATATTCTCGAGATATACTGAGAGAAATCTTCACATTTCGCCACTCGTATTCGGTAGTAAAATCAGGAATTAGACAATATTACTGAAATGCAACTAAAAGAAGTATACAATATGGAGATTAGAGAAATAGGAGAGATCAGATGGAAACGTCTTGCATAATATGAGGCATATCAAAAATAGCGATGGAGGTCGAAAAGTATGTTTCCCAATAGTAAGAATATAATTAAGTAATAGTAATAAGTAACATTAGTGACAATGATGTTTAAAGCAGTAGCGCTCGTACAAAACAGAAAACCACCCACGTGATTGTGAAAATGGCGATAAAATGGCATGTAGAAAGCCTATATGATATAAGAAGTGAGTGAGTTATAAAAAAGCACACAAATCTAACGATGTACTACTAAAAGGTAATTGTGAGTAGTAATAGAAGAGAAGAAAAAATAAGACGTGGAAGAAATGAAAAGGCGTGGTGACATTCCTATGGGAAAGAAGAGTATAAATGCCTATCAATTGGATAATCAATCAATATGAAATGGTGGTGGTGTGCCAATGGCTGCAAGTAACGGGTACGCGATAATTGCTAACGACAACCGCGCCTCCCTGAGTGACAAAACTACGATGCGCGTTTAAATTTTTGGATGTTGCTATGGGTTCAGAGTATTGGAACTATTTCCATTGTTATTCGAATTGTTGGATGAATGCTCCGTCGAAGGTTGCTGGTGGAGTTGACGGGTTCTATGGTGACGTGAGGCAGCAGATGAGAAGAGAGCAAAACGAAGATCATCTTCAAATGAACCGCTCTCTTCCATGGAACCCATTCGTGACTGGTCCTCTTCTTCAAGGTCTTCAAGAACTCCTCCAGCACTCCATGAACCTGGAGGCTACAAAAGATCAATATACGTCGTAAAATGAAATTGGAAATAACGAGTAACAACAGAATAATAATCTTTTCAGAATGACATTGAAAATATCAGATTTTCTTACAATTTTGTTTGGCCAATTTTTGGGCTTTTCAAACTTTCCAGTTGGTCAATTCCATCTCAACAAATTTGCAGTTACCAGCAAGGATATCATCAAATAAACTGCAAATGTCCAAAAGCATAAGTGTGTCGGAATGCATTCGATAACCCTTAGTTGGATCAAGGACTGATTAATATCCACGTAATTACGTCCCTTTAAGTTAGAGCAACAGAAGAGTGGAAAACAAGCATGAAGGTTCACGACTTGCTATGAAGCTTTATTTTTGCCAAACGGTCAATTCTCGTCACCTATAGTGAAACACTAGGTGTATGCAATAGACTTATCTCCACGTGGTGCAACCTGGGCAGCCTATACTCATACGGCTAAAATGTCAATAAACAGGCAGTTGACTTCTCACTTCTAACTACCATGATCCCACTGTATGTCAAATTCAACCACTTCAACGGTACTCATCTTACCTTTTCTCTGCCTTTGTGTCTGTCTGTCTGTCTCTTTTACATCTATGAATCATTATTCGATCCCCACTCTCGGCATTTTGCCACTTTGAAGTTCCTCCTCCCCTCTGTGAAGTCAGAAGTCAGCTAAAGGGCTAATGATAACTATCAAAACGCCTGCCATTTGAGATAAATAAATAGTGGCATATCAAGCGACCGTGGTTGACCAGCTGATCTTCCTTCAATCGCCAGTATCAATAAAATTTAACATAACGTTTGCCTTTCGACTAACCTTAAAGAGACTTAAGTTATACGCGATTGTGCAAAGGTGATGATTGGTGCGATTTTACTTATTTGCTAATT